CTCTCCGCCCTCTAGCCCCTCCGTGTGGTCCTCGTTGCCCGCGTCCTCTTCGCGCAATTTCCCCAACACCTCGCTCCAGCCCGGCGTGGCCGCGCGCCGGCCTTGACCGCTGCCGTTGCTGGTTGTCGCCGTGTCCGGTCCTGGGGAGGTTTTCGCCAGTCGTTTCTCGCCCTCCTTCTCCTCCTCGTCGCGACCCCGCCTGTCCAGCGCGGGGGGCGGCGATGGCCCCACCTTCACGTAGAAGAGGAGATAGGCGTGCTGGTGCAAGACCGTGGGCAGGCCCACCTGCCGGACCTGGGCATCGTCCATCTCGTACCAACAGCCGTTGGCCGCCTTGACCAGGGAGTAGTAGTGGCCCATGTTCACGGAGGCGCCGGCGTGGACGAGGACCCCCGCCAGCCGGTAGCGGGCCGAGCCCTCGGGCCCGGACAGGCTCAGGCGCAGGCTCTCTGGGTAGGCCACGTTCTTGCTCAGCTTGCTGCTGCGAGATCCGAACATGAAGCGCTTGAGCTGCACCGTGCACACGTTGGGGGCGGTGTGGAAGCTGAGCCGCTTCTGGGCGCAGACGAGCTGGCTGCAGGCGGGGCACCTCCATCGGTTTGCTCGGTCCAAGGTCTCCACGGCCGTAAAGCGGGCGAGCGCCTCCTCGAGCCGACCCACCTTCCCGTGGATCTCCAACGACAGGTCCAGGAAATTGTCGTAGGTGTTGCTGCAATGCCCGCACTGGGTGCAGCGGACCTGAGAGCGCAAATAGCCCCCGAAGATCCGGTGCACGAAGGTGGTCTCCGCCAGCCGGCCTGGGGCGTTGCTCTTGACCCTGGCGGCTTGGAGGCAACCGCTCTGAAGCGCGTCCAGCAGGTGACGGAGGAACTCGTGCGCGTCTTCCTGCCGACCGACCCGGAAATGCCGGTTCAGGGCCTTCAGGTTCCCGACGATCGCCTTGGGTGAGATCGGGCTCCGGCCGCCCTCCCGCCGGGCCAGGCCGTCGCCCCGATCCCCGCCTCCGGCCCCTGAGCCCGTGTGCATGTTGGCGATCAAGTCCCGCACAAGGCCCAGCCAGCCCCCCCGGGCCTGGCCCCCTCCGCGATGTCCCTGCCCGGCCCCAGGGGAGAGCACGGACGGCACCCTTTCCTCCTCCTTTTTGCTCAGAAAGTACTGCGCGAGCGGGGGCAGGTACGCCAAGCACTGTAAGGTGGCGTTCAGAAAGCAAGTGTTCCCCAGGTTGTAGAGGCCCGGACCCACACGCTCCACGCGGATCCAGGTCATCAGGGGATGAATCTTTGATTCCGGGAAGATGCCTTTCTCCGGCGTTGGCAAGCCAGGCGCTGCAGCATCCTTGTCCATGGCCTCACTGAAACGCTCTCGGGCCTTCTTTCCTGTCAGGGGGCCGGCAACGACGCCTCCCAAGCAGCCCGACGCAGGGCACGGGCCTTTGGTCGTGCCAGTTGACAAAGAAACGAAGCCGTTCTCGACTTTGCGGGCCTTGTGAAATTTGATTCTCCGCCGCGGCTTGCCGATATCCCACGCTTGACCGTTGTGGGCGCCGTCATTTCCGGGACCTTGGAGCAACCTTTTGAAACTCTGCACATCCCCCGTTCCCCGACCACCTTTCAAACCGCCCTGTTGACCTCGATGCTTCATGTTTGACGGCTCTATCCTGCCCGCCTGACCTAACACACCTGCCTTGTTTACTCAGCGAGAACACCGAAATGAGAGACCGTTGATCATTTCTCCCTCGAGACCTGTAAATGCAAATAGATGTGGAGGAAATAAAGCGGCTTGATTTGAGTCGCAAGGTCGTTTGCAACAGGAATACTACTTTGAGAACAGAGAACCTAATTGTACAAAATTCCGAGAAAATGCCTGTTTCATCCTTTTTCATGACATTTGCGAACATGTCTAGGCGTAAGGATCGATACTCTGCGAGGAATGTACAGGTTCTCCTAAAAGAAAATGGCCTATCCACCCGTTGACTTTTGATGAAAAATGTCACGAACGATGATAAAATGCAGGTCCACCGCACAAGTCGTGTTTATTTCCCCTACCAGCTCCCCCACGCACCGGAAGATCACAATCCATGGCCACACCTTCTAGTCGTCTCCATCCACTTAATGCATAAGGCCCCACTGGATACGTCGGCCTGTGACAACGCGCGACGAGAGGCGGCGATGCGGGGGGGGGGGGGGTCAAAATCAGGGCTTTGGTCAAACGCCGGTCAAGGAGGCCAGAAAATGGACGATGCAAGGGCAACTGAGGCAACAATTCATTTTTTCTTTTATTTCTCTTCTTTTATTGATACGAAAACCCGTTTTTAATTCCTATAAAAGAGTCTTAATTCATCGTCCAGAATTTTTACACTCGGCCCATGCCTATGCATCAAAAGCGGGAAGTGAAAGCAAAAGTTTTGACTTCTAAGAAAAACATGGCAGCCTTAAGTCAACAGGAGAAGATTTTATTTGCTTTAGATCTTTCTAGCTATGACTGGCTCAATTTTCCACACTGGGAAAAGGTGCGTAAAGTAGAAAATTTGGGGGGGAAATTTGTTCTCCGCCACTCAGATTTCTATCCGTGACTCCGCAAAGGCGGTCGATATGAACGATTTTTCGAAATTTTTGCTGTGGCTGACGGATCAAGACGCAATTTTAGCTGGTATCGTGGCAACTAAGCAGGAGGAATTCTTGGCGGTATTTGAAAAGGTACGAGCATGAGTAGGAGACTCTTGACTAGAAGAAATGCTGATCTGCACATGCAACACCGCCATTACACCGTCCATGCTCAGGTTAAAAGCGAACTGCAATCTGTAACCAAAGAGGAGTCGTAAAGACGACCTCATAAGGGAAAGAAATAAGAATCACCACACTCTCTTGATGCAAAAAAGGAAAATCATTTGTTCCATTTGGTCTCATTCTGTTCGTCTAAGAGGAACATGGTAAATCACCGATCTAAGGGGCCCTACAGACTCCTTCTCCATCCATCGCATTAGATCATCCGGCATCTTAACATATTCACAATCATGCTTTTTCCCTGTCGTTCCTAAAAGAATGTCTAAAGCTTCCCAAGCCACCCTCAGGTGCCATCACTGCCCTTTCAACCCCGCTCCCTTACAGGAAGGAGGGCTTCCTCCATTACTGAATGCGTAGCTCAACTATTGTCACTTGCTCTCTCGCGTTACGGGCGTCGGGCCATGCAACCCTCCCCCCCGCATGTCACACTTTCTCGCGAGCCTTTCCCGGCGGGGCCTTCTCAGTCCGCTCCCGCCCCTGTTCGCACTCTCCCTGCGCCCGTCCTCTCTCCCACTCCGACCGCGACATCCGCCGGCTTCCGCATGCTGCTGAAGGGGCTTCGACACAGGGCGTCATCGGAGGCGACCTGGTACAGGCAGCTCAAGGTGACGGCCGCGAAGGGCATGTTGCTGAGCTCCTCTAAGGTGCTGTGGGAGTGAACGAGCATGGACCCCAGCTGAATCAGCTCGTTGGCTCCGTCCCCCACGATGTGCACGCCGATGATCGTGTGCCGCATCTTTTGCCCGCTGCCTCCCTCCGCCCTGGCGATAATCTTCAAGAATCCGTTCAAATCGCCTGAGAGACGGCCTCGCGCCAGGTCCTTGAAGAATGCGTAGCCGAAGACGATACCCCCGCCCTGCTCCTCCGTCTCCGCCAGCCTCTCTCCACGGGCCAGGGCCTCCTCGGTCGACATCCCGCTGCTGGCTATCTCCGGGACCGTCCAGAGGGTCAAGGGGGCCTCCATCCGCTTCAAGAGCGCAAGGCTCCTCTCCCTCTCTTTCTCTTCCTCCTCTTCGGCATTCGCATCCGGGGCGGCGAAGAAATCGTCCCCCCCCGCCCAGTCCTCCAGCGTCACCTCGGCTTGGCCCATCAAGCCCCCCCGCCT